GGAAACAGAACAGTAGTTCTAAGAAAATTTTATAAAAATAGAGTTGCCAAGCCATCCAGGAATTCCACTTCTGGGAATATTCTCATAAAACTCAAAAGTAAGGACCAACAGATATGTGTATACCCATATTATCAGTGCATTATGTATGAAGACCAAATGTCTACCAGCAAATTAATTCATTACCACTGGCCTATGATCCCAGCTCTTGGGAGATAGAAGCAGAAGGATAAGGAGTTCAAGGTGAGCCTCAGTATATATGTATTATATGTGTGTGTGTATTTGCACATATATGTGCATGTGTGTTGTGTTGTATATGGTGAGGTCAGGCCTTGATACAAGAATCCCCATCTCAAAACAAAAAAGCAGTATAAACAAAATATTGTTCAACCTTAGAAATTCTGACACCTACTCCATGGATAAATCTTGGCACCTTGCCACATGAAGAACAGACAGTTACAACAGGATAAATAGCTGATTGCACTTATACTAGTATCTCACTGACATAAGTTGGAATAAGCAAAGTGGAGCACCTAAAGGGTACTAGATGAATGTGGTATGTTTTATTGTTTATTTTACTTAATTCTCTTCCACAAACAATTTACCCATGTTTGTTTCAAGTAGGATCTCACTATGTAATCCAGCAGCCCTAGAGGTCACAATCCTCCTGCCTCAGCTCTGGAGCACTGAAATCACAAGAGTGCACCAACCACCGTGTCCCTCTTCAAGGACTTCTACTAAGTTTTTTTTTTTTTGGTTTTTTCGAGATAGGGTTTCTCTGTGGCTTTGGAGGCTGTCCTGGAACTCACTTGGTAGTCCAGGCTGGTCTTGAACTCACAGAGATCCGCCTGCCTCTGCCTCCCAAGTGCTGGGATTAAAGGTGTGCGCCACTAACACCCGGCCTACTAAGTTTTCTTTGATGACTAACCATTTGGCCACAAACACAACAAATAATCCTTTAGAACGACAAGACTCCAAAGAGATAACCTAAGATGTAACTATAACTTATAAAACTTCTGAACAAATGTGTAAAAAACAACCACATGAGCACTACTAGGCCTTCTTCCAAGAACCCAACTTCACCACAAATATGGTTTCACCTGCTACAAAGGTGACATCTTTCCCTAATCCACCAAAATGCCCTCCAGAATACTCAAGCAACTTAACCCAAACGCTCTCATGCCTATACCTGGCTAATGATGTCATCTGAATGCTGCACAAATTTACTGGGGAGGACTGCAAACAGACAACTTTCTCAGCAGGCAACAAGGTTTGTTTCGTTAAGTACAATGAAGCACTGTCATTTACACAGGATTCAAATCCAAAATTTTTTGTTTTTTTGAAACAGGGTTTCTCTGTGTAACTGCCCTGGTTGTCCTGGAACTTGCTCTGTAGAGTAGACTGACCTTAAATTTACAGAGATTCACCTGCCTCGACCTCCTGAGCACTGGGAATCAAGGCATGCAACACCACCACCCGGCTCAAATCCAAATATCTTAAGATATCTGGCATGAGGTGGCAAAATTGATGATATAGATGCAAAGATCTATTGCAATGAGGAAAATGGATGACCAGCAATTAATGTCCTCTCTGAGATAGCCACAGCTGGGATTAACCCACCTATACCTTTCTGAAACACTGTTCCATATATTTGGATAGTCTCAGTTCTAAAACTGCAAAAATGGGGGGAGGGATCATACTACAGGGAAACTGAGTCCAGCCTATCTATAAATTGTCACTATAAATGAGTTGTGTACAAATGTGCATTAATAATATCCCATTAAAGCAAGGGAAACAAGCAGTGTCAGCATTTCTGAATGAATCACAAAAGCTCTCCTTTAGAGTCACTTAGCTGGAGGACCGCCTCAGTTAGCTTAACTAGATCAAAAGAAGTCAGAACAGTCTTTTGTGACAGCCTAAAGAGTGGTATGTTCCTATCAAGTGGCCTGGACAATTCACCAGCTTTCTATAATTCAAAAGCCTTTTAAATATGTATAGTCTCTGATCACACACTACAAAGGAACAGTTACAGGTGTGTGGAAAACAAACTTCAATGAATGAAAAAATTATAAATATTCTTGGAGACTAGTTGTTGGTAATTAAGTTATGGCTCAGCCATGCAATTACATGCCATACAGGCATTAAAAATGGCTGATTGAGGGGCTAGAAATACAGTGCAATGGTACAGGGCTTACCTACAAAGTGTAAGGCCCTAGGTTATACATAGGCACTACTCTCTTTAAAAAAGAAAAGCCGGGCGGTGGTGGTGCACGCCTTTAATCCCAGCACTCAGGAGGCAGAGGCAGGCGGATCTCTGTGAGTTTGCAACCAGCTTGGTCTACAAGAGCGAATTCCAGGACAGCCTTCATGGTCGCAGAGAAACCCTGTCTCAACGTTCCCCCCCACTCAAAAAAGAAAACCAGGATATAAAAATCCAATTTTATTAATAACTGTGTACATAATATGTGCAAGCCCACACACATGAAAGTGAATCCACATGTCTGAGACCATGAACACATCCAAGTATGATTAGAAGCCGATGGAGCTGCATGGATGTATAAAGATGTGCTATATGACATGCGAGAGCACACAATGTACATGTAACATATGTATCTGCTAATGGGCAAAGCCTGTCTTAGGGCTGTAACTCTTTTACATAAGTATATGAATTCTCTTGTAACCACAATTTAGCAGTTTTGTGAACTTAACAAGTCACTGAAATCCTGAGAGACTTGACTTGTATAAAATGTCATCTATAAACTGGGCAGTCTTGGCACACACCTTTAATCACAGCACTTGGGAGGCAGAGGCAGGCGGATCTCTGTGAAGTGCCAGACCAACTTGGCTTACAAGATCTAGTTCCAGGATAGGCTCCAAAGCTACACATAGAAACCCTGTCTCAAAAAACTAAAAAAATGTTAAATGTCATCTATAAAAGGAGAACAAACTTTGTTGACCCACAAAGGTGTAAGGGCTCATTGAAGACGGGCTTTTTGATTTGTTTTTTGTTTTGTTCAGACAGGGTTTCTCTGTGCACCAGTCCTCGGATATCCTGGAACTCACTTTGTAGACCAGGCTGGTCTCCAAAACTCACGGAGATCCGCCTGCCTCTGCCTCCTGAGTGCTGGGAGTAAAGGTGTGTGCCACCACTGCTAGGCTAAATGAAGATGGATTTAAAGTGAGTTCTACTGTGACTGGTGTACAGTAATTCAGCACTATCGCTCCATGCACCGTGACCACACTGTTTTATTTCTACATAGCTCTAATCCACACAAATACGTACCCATGCATTAACTTTGCTTATCTATGGGAACAGATTTCTGCTGGCCTTGACTGTTCTTTCATATTTCATGCTTTTTTCTATGTAGATTTTTTCATGTTTTATTAAAGATTATTTCTTCCAACTTATTTTGTGGTTGTTGAGGCAGGGTCTTCCTGTACCTCAGGCTGCTTGCAACTAGGTTAGCAGTCCAGGTTGGCCTTCAACTTTTTGATTTTCCTGCCTCTGTCTCCCAACTGCTAGGATTGTAGACATGAGCCACCACACCCAGCAAAATACTTACATTTAGAGTAATGATATAAAGATGGCCCATATCTAAATTCTGCATAATCAAAAAGCCACTAAACACATTAAGCCAACAAAAGCATAATTTTAATACTGACAAATTTCCTGTATTCTAGCAGTAAACCAGCATTACCCCATAGCTCAGTAAGATGGCAGTACAAAGAAAATCCAACAGCTCTTCTGTTTGTTCGCCTATCCAAATCGGGTTGAAAAGATTGACATTATAAGGTTCAGGGGATTTGTGAACAAGTTGATGAAAGACTGTGCCTAGAATTTATTAAGGCAGGGAAGCACCCGGAGTCTCATCCAAGGTCATAGGATAAAGACTATGAAGACATAAAGATTAGACTGCATCGCCACAATTTGGGGGTGTTTATTAGACCAAGAGGCTAAATCCTTAACTAGTAATTTCAGGAGTCCGGGCGGGGGCGGGAAGGGGGCGGGGGCGGGAAGGAGGGCGGATTACAACACACCTCTCAAGACGGCAAAACAAACCAGTAACCGACCGCGCCAGGGTTAATCTACAACACGCTTTAATCGTACTGGTTTTATTTCTACAACGTAGATAACGTAGATCACTTAAACCACGCCATTTTATGCCGAAAAAGCAGGATCGACAGTTTTGTATGCAAGTTTGACTGAAAACATTTAAAATTTGATACAACAGAAGCAGTTGCCCGCGGTTCAGTCAACAACTCTCTGGCCCAATTCCCACAATTACGAGATGTTTTAGATTAATCTAATTCCCCCTTCCCCCCCAAGTCTCTAAATTCCCGAGAAAACCCAGACCGGGAGAGAAAAATATCTCTTTTCCCTGGGGCCTCAATTTACAGAATCACACAGCAGATAATGACCCAATCATCTGGATATATTTCCTCCCTAGATACGCTATTAAATCTCTTACAACGTCATTTCCAAGCGTGCAAAATACACCCGGGCACACGCCCTGCAGCCTCACCGTAGCCCTACATTTTAGGGCCTCTTCCTCCAGATCGATCGAAAGCTGCGGGCTCATCCCTCGCTTCGGTTTTTGACTCGAGTCTCAAAGGGGAACGAGGGGGATGGGTTTGGGCAGAAACGAGGCTCTGGAGCCCTGAGTAATCGCACCTCGCTGCGGACAGCCGGCGGCGGCACAGGCGATATGATCTTTTCTTCGGAACCCATTTCCTTTACCTTTTCGGCTTCATTTTTGTTCCCCCCCCCACCCCCGATTTTCCAATGACATCAAACCAACGCCGAGCGAAGAACGGATGCCTCCTCCGGGTCGGCGCCCCCAGAGCGCCACGAGTCCGGCCTCCGGGCCCCGCCCGACCTGGGAAGCAAGGTTAAGGCGACGGGCCCAGGCCCCGAGGTCCGGCCCGGGCCCGGCGCGGCCTGCAAAGCCCTGGCGTCGAGTGGCCGGCGGAGGGCGGGGCGGGCCCGGCCCAGGGCCGCTCACCTGCTGGTACCCGGTGCCGCAGGCCGGCTCCACGGCCGCCAGCGCCGCCAACGCCAACGCCATGGCGCAGCGGGCCTCAGGGAAGGACGGCGAACGGGCGGGCTGAAGGGACGCGGGCGCCGCGGCCGAGGGTCGTCGGGAGGGCGAGAGGTACGCGCCGCGCCGCGCCGTGCGGACGCTCGCAGCCAGCACCGGGACGCTCTCCTCGGGCACTGAGCGCCGCCGCCGTGGGTCCGCCGCGGCCCCTGGGGAGGAGGCGGGGACGACGACGACGACGACGACGCTGCGCCGCCGCCCCGCCCCCTCCGCGCCCCGCCCCGCCCCCTCCGCGCCCCGCCCCGCCGGGCCGCGCCCCTGACCCCCGCCCGGCCCTCTCCGAGTCCCGCAGGGTCGAGGGTCCTAGCCATTCACCTCCTAGCTTCCATCCTCAGACTGACGCCAGCCAGCCCTCGAGCTGGGGCCTCCTCCCGCCTGTCAAGACCCTTAGGATGTTTGTAAATTCGAGGACACAAATTAGGTTCATTTTTAAATACCTCAAATGAAGTTTTATTGTTACACAGCGTCTTGGGTGGCCGGCAAACTCTGAAGAATGCACCGCCTGACCCTTTATAGAAAAAAAATTATGTCCCAAAATCTTAGTCTGGGTTATTTATAATAAAGCCTAACGTATGTGGCCTATTAGTAGATCTTGTGTTGATACATATTATCTGAAACACAATTCTCTGAGGAAGTGGTATGAAAGTCAAAAAACGAGGATTTTATCCAGATAGCAGGAACGTGTGTGTGTGTTTGTGTGTGTGTGTGTGTGTGTGTGTGTGTGTGTGTGTGTGTGTGTGTGTGTTGAGGCCATGACAAGAAAGAGCTGGCCTCACAGAACTGAAAGGCGCTAAGCACTTGGGTGGAGGACTTACTAGAGCGGTATTTCACAAATGAGGAAATTGTGTGTGAGGATTCGCTGTTTACCCACTGACCCTGAGCTGATGAAGGAGAAGCTGGAAAGCAAGCCCATTAAGCCAGCCTTAACCATTATGACAGTTTAAATGATAAGCTTTGTGGAGACAAGAGTGTCTCTCAGGTGTGAGAGCCAAAGTTATGTTTTACGTCTTAATTACTGTGCTTAAGAGATCCATGAAAAAAAAATGCCTCTGCTGTGCAAGACCCTTGCCCAAGGACAGACAGTTCCTGAAATACTGGAGGCTATAGTTTATGGTAGATAGCAAGGCACATGTTTTCACTCCTCTAGACAAGTTTGACCCATCTGCACCGGATGTGCTTGACCACATGAGGGTGGGAGGTTCATAAGCAGGAAAATACATCAGGATGTATGCTTGCCTTTTAATGGACCTGATGGGAAACAGTTTAAGCCCCTGAAAACTGTGACTGGAGGCCATTTTCTGGAAAACCTGTCCATCCCGATCCAACCAAAATGCCTACAATGGTGGTCTTATTCTTGACCAGTGGGATTAACACAGACCTTCCATTTTCTACAACAAATGAACAGTACAACTGCATAACAGGCAGTTTGGGGGCTGTTTCTTTTTTTTATCACATCCAGTCACCTAGAATCATTTCTAAGCACACATTTAACACGGAAGGGAGATAGGGGAGAATCCTTCACTCGTTAACGCATGAGTTGGTTTTTTTAATTGTCTTTCCAAGTTAGTACTCTGCAGTTGGTTATAATAATAGGGCTATCTTAGCCTCTAATTTTGAAGTCTATATATATATATATCTTTATGTGTTAGTTATATTTTTAAAACATAGCTGTTTTGAATTATGCTAAGATTTCCATGCATAGGAGTGCATGATAATCAAATAACATTTTTTGGGACAGTGGCAGCTCACTCCTTTAATCCCAGTACTCTGGAGGCAGAGGCAAGTGGAACTCTGTGAGTTCGTGGCCAGTCTGGTCTACAGAATGAGTTCCAGGACAGCATCCAAAGCAATACAGAGGAACCCTGTCTCAAAAAACCAGAAAAAAAGAAAAAGAAGGAGAGAGATAGATAAACAGAGAGAGAGAGAGAGAGAGAGAGAGAGAGAGAGAGAGAGAGAAAGAAAGAAAGAAAGAAAGAAAGAAAGAAAGATTCTATGGAGAGGAAGAGATGGCTCAGCTGTTAAAGACCCTGGCTGCTCTGTCAAGGGACCCAGATTCAATCCCCAGCATCCACACGATAGAAACATCTATAACTCCAGTTCCAGAAGATCTGACTCCTCTTTTAGTCTCTAAGGGCACTGCAGGCACATGGAACATAGACATACATGCAGGGAAAACACACATACACACAAAATAATTTTTAAATTAAATTTGAGGGCTGGAGAGATGGCTCAGAGGTTAAGAGCACTGACTACTCTTCTAGAGGACCCGGGTTCAATTCCCAGCACCCACATGGCAGCTCACAACTGCATGTAACTCCAAGATCTGATAGCCTCACACAGACATATGTGCAGACAAGCACAATGCACATAAAAAATAAATAAATATTACATTTGAATAATGTCTACATACATATTTTCACTCTGGGTCTTTTTGCATCCAAGCTCCTATATAGCTCCCTATATCTAAGTATTAGCATTGGATAATTATTTTATGAGCTGAGAGAGGACACACTTAGTAACATGCTATGCTGACAGGTCTGCTGGGCTGCTTGCTCCCTTTCTCTTTTATTTTTCCCTTTCCTCTTCGGTGCTGGGAACCAGAGCCAGTGCCTTGAGCACATGGGGCATGCACTCATTACCCCTGAACAGCGCGTCAAACCCAGAAAGACAAACCTTAAATGTTATTTGCCGCAGTGAACCAGACAAACACAACGTCCTTCCATGTGTCTTATATAAGGAGGGAGGAAAAGTCTGGCTTGAAATTTAAAAACACATATCATCAGTGGAAAATAGAAATCAGGTCACTTTGTCTAAATTTATGAGTAAGAAGGGATAAAAAAGCATATGTCTGTCCTGTCACATATGGCAGCAACTGCCATCACCGCGAAGGCTTTCTATGGAGGAGGAGTTGCTAGTCTTCATCTCTTATTTCTCCCTTAATATCTGTGTACTGCTTGCATGGGAACCCAGATAATAGCATACTATAAATAATGACCTTTCTCACAGGAATTGCTCTCAATAGCCAAAGAAAATTGATCTCTCACTTCTAATGCCCCCTCCCAACTCTTTTATTGGTAGCCTCAACCCTAGTGTTTTGAGTAACAAATATTTTGGTCTCTCTATCTCTTTGGTTTTGCAAGACAGGGCTTCTGTGTGTAATAGCTCTAGTTGTCCTGGAACTTGCTTTGTATACCAGGCTGGCCTCAAACTCACAGAGATCCACCTGCTTCTGTCTTCTGAGTGCTGGGATTGAAGGCATGCACCACCACTGCCTGGCTCTCCCCAAGCTTTTAATACACAAGTCGAGATTATTGGCTTAATTCAGTGAGTGTCTGAACTGAAAACTGTAAAACTTTTTTCTCTCTCCCTCCCTGACTTTCCAATGACATCAAACCAAGCCTGAGAGGAAGAAGCCACCAGAGCGCCCCAGGTCACTGCCGTATGAGGCCTCCAACTGACCAGAGACTGCAGGAGAAAGAGGAGAAAGGAGTAGTAGGCTGTGTTCTTGACCGGCAGATCCGTGCCTGGTACATGCCAAGCAAACAGGGAGGGTAACCCAAGGCGGTGAAAATTGCACTGGGCTTCATCTCCAGATGTTGTCAAAACAACTTCCCTAAGAAAATTATTAATTTTAGGTTGCTGCACTTAGAAATTTATTTCCCCTGAGAGCCACAGTCATGCATTCCATGAGCAATACTCTTTATGTGACTTGCTGACGCATCCATCCTAGGAGAGAAAGGAGACATGATGGAGAAAGGGGAGCGTAGCTCATGTTGGCATTGCTCTCCCCCTGGAATTTAGGTAAAACTCTCTGGAATAGATGTGGTCTTTGTCTCCCACATACACAGGACGCTTGGCTCAGGAGGCACTCAGCTCTCTAAGCAGCCAAGTGTCTGTCCCATGTGTCCAAGCCTTGTTAGTGTAGCATCTCACTTGAGACCTTAGCTGCTGCAGCTAGTCTTCCAGGACTTCCCGAGTCCTGCAGTTTCATTCCTCCTGGCCGAGGGGTTTTTTTTCAGTCACACTGCCTCACCATGGCTTTTGTTAAAGGGCAAGGGTAATTTCTTCACATTCCAAATACAGAGGTCAGCCACTGGTGACCGATGCTGTCTTGGAAGCTAACATACACCATCTCTCTAATCCTCATAACAAATATGCTCGGCAGATGACGAGATTCAAGAGATTCATGGCACTTGTTCATTTCGGGATGGATAGGGCCAAAGGGAAGATTCAGATCTACCTGACTTAAAAACGTGAACATTGCTCAGCTCATGCAAAGAAATACAGGACATTGATGGGCTAACCTTTGGGTCTTACAGTGAAATAGAGTAGATAGTAAACACACTTGTTTATTTGTTTGTTATTTGACACAGGGTTTCTCTGTGTGTCCCTGTGTATCTCTGGCTGTCTTGGTATTCACTTTGTAGACCAGGCTCTCCTCAAACTCACAGATATCTACCTGCCTCTGCCTCCTTAGTACTGGAAATAAATCGTGTACCACCATGCCCAGCTTAGTAAACACACATTTAAGATTATTTTTAATGTAAACATTCCAAGTTGGAGCTAAGGCTACAGCTCAGTAATAGAGTGCTTGTGTAATATAAGCAAGGATTTAATACTCAACAATATACACACACAGTACTACTTAATTGCAGTACTGTTGAGCTGAGGAATAGTGAAGGAAATTATGTGATCAGGTGGGATAACTAAGTAAGAACTGGAGAGACAGAGTTCCAACTGAGAAACGGGCTTTGTTGTGATGGGGAAGGGGAGAGCACACCAAGTCATAAGTGTGCTTGCCTAGTTTAGCACAGAATTTAGCAACCCTTTATGTAAAGGGACAAGTAGTAAATACTTCTGGCTCTGTGGACCATAAACTGGCTATCACAGAGATTCTGTCATCACTGGGTCACAAGCATAGCCATGGATGTTACCAAACAAACTGGCATGGCTGTTGCTATGGTTTGGTTGTTGCCCAAAAGTCATTCCCTGGGCAGCTGTACTGGTACTGGCGCATTGGCACACATCTGTAATCCCAGTATTTGAAGAGCTGAAACAGAGGATCACTACTCCCCACCAGTGCAAGCTATATAACAGAGTCTGTCTCCAAAGCCAAACAAAAGGTTATAAAGTGTTCAAATATACCATAGGTTTG